CGGGGACCTGAGCGAGACCTCGCCGTCCCTGGGGGGCTGCGATCTGCGACGCTGTCGCCACTTTCGAGGGCTGCTGGTAAATCCTACGGACTAAGAGGCACCGCGGGGACCTGAGCGAGACCTCGCTGTCCCTGGGGGGCTGCGATCTGCGACGCTGTCGCCACGTTCGAGGGCTGCTGGTGGGTCCTGCGGAGTGAAGCACCGCGGGGAGCTCGCCGTTCCTTGGGGCGCTGCGATCTGCGACACCGTCGCCACTTTCGAGGGCTGCTGGTGGGTCCAGCGGAGTGAGGCACCGCAGGGACCTGTGCGAGACCTCGCCGTCCGTGGGGGCTGCGATCTGCGAAATTGTAGCCACTTTCGAGGGCTGCTGTTGGGTCCAGCGGACTGAGGCACCGCGGGGACCTGAGGGAGACCTCGCCGTCCCTGGGGGGGGCTGCGTTAGTAACCACTACGACGCCCTCATATCTTGCGCCCCCGGTGTAGCAGTCCTGATGTATTTGTGCCCCGTATTGCGCAAGGGTTGGGTACGTCGCCAGGGTAATTTTGTTTTGTCCAAAATCCCCCTGCAGGGGGACAGGCCCGACCTAAGCCTATCTCGCCACCGTGCCTGGGTGGCGGGTCAGATTTTTTGGGTCTGAGCGCTCTCGTGGGCCTCTCGGGAGCTGGTTTGGGGCCTTTTGGAGGCTTCTTGGGGGCTCCTTGAGGCCTCTCGGGGCCCAGGGCTCGAAATGTCCATTCGGATTCCCCATCTGGGCCCCCTCTTGAGGCTGTATTTGGGCTCTCTTGGGCCGTCTTGGGGCCCTCTTGGGCCGGCGTGGCGTCCTCTGGAGCCGTTTTGTGGCGATCTTGGCATTCAATGATTTTGGCCTGCTGGGGCTGTCTTGGGAGGTCTCTTGGAGGCTCTGGGGGTGTCCTGGAGGCCTCTTGGACCGTCTTGGGGCCGTCTTGGGCGTTTTGGAGCGATCTCTCGGCGACTCGGAGCCTTGGAGCCCCCATGGGCCCCCAAGAAGTCGTGCGACAAACCGCGGGGAACCGCGACAAGCCCCAGGAGATTTGTGCACTTGGGATCCTCAGGAGTGAGGATTGAGGCTTCGAGGATTGGGCAAAGGACCAGAGGACACGCCCACTCCGTGCCCACAATTCAATCAGCAACAATTCAGCAGCACCTCCAGCCAGCCGCATCATCGTCTTGCAGTTTTCAATGCACTAACTACTGTACTGTGTGAAGAAGGAGTGTACACATACACATACACGGCAGGAGATAGACAACAAGACGTCGTCGGCGGATCGTCGTGGGACGGGAGAGCTTGCAGGCCGCCAGAGGGCACAGCCGCTGAGTTTTCGCTGCACGCCGGGCAGGGTAAGAGGCTGGGCGGGGGTCGGTGGAGGCAGACGGCGGCCACGTTGTCGAACGGTGCTGCGGCGCGTCGGGCAGCATTGGTTGCAGAGCCGTCTCCTCCTCGTGGGACCACAGGGGGGCGCGACGGGGTGGAGGCTTGGACTCTGGGGCCCCCCGGGGCCTTCCCGCTCCACTCGCGGGGCGTCGCCGGCCGGCGCCATGGCGCCCTCGCGGGCGCCGCTCGGAAGGGGCTCGGTGCGGGGGGGGGGTCGCCTTCTCAGTGGTCAGAGGAGGAGCTATACTCGCCTTCGGGAGATCTCGTCGCCACTGCTGGGTTCCCTTTCTGAGATTCTGGTCAGAACGCACCCCCCTGGAGAGGTCCAGGGAGCAGCGGTATCGGTATCGCTTCGTTCCCACGAGAGGGCAGGATGCCTCTCTTCGGAACGGGTTCGGAGGCCTCTGGGGAGGCTTCTTGGCAGGCGGAAGTTCTGAGGCGCCCCCCTCTGGCCCCTGAGCGCAGCCTCGTCGTCTTGTGCGCGCCGCCTTCAGAGGCAACGTCAGGGGGCGATATGCTCAGGGGCGGATGCACCGACCTCCACTCGCCCATGGATCGCCTTTTGGAGCCTGACAGCCCATCTCGTACACGAGCGTGCGGATTCGCTATCGGGGGCCAGTCGTCGATCTACGGGCGATGTATCGCTGATTGCAGGTCGATGTTCCTCCCCTCCTGCTCCTCCTCCTCCTCCTCCTCCTCGTCCTCCTCCTCCTCCTCCTCGTCCTCCTCGTCCTTCTCCTCCTCCTCCTCCCTCCTCCTCTCCTCCTCCTCCTCCTCCTCCCTCTTCCCCCTCCTCCCTCCTCCTCCTCCTCCTCCTCCTCCTCCTACTACTCCTACTCCTCCTCCTCCTCCTCTCCTCCTCTCCCTCCTCCTCTCCCTCCTCTTCTCCCTCCTCCTCCTCCTCCTCCTCCTCCTCCTCCTCCTCCTCCTGATCCAGTCCCCCCCCATCCTTGCCCCTCACGCCAGCCTCCGCGCCGAGGCGGGTGGAGGCTCTGCCGCCCAGCGAGCAGCTGCAGCTCGTCGTCGCCGAGCGCTGGGGCGAGCTGCTGGCGGCGGGCGGGCCGCTGGACGCCGGTCGCCTCGGCCTGCTCGCGGCGCTCAGCGATGCCCCCAGGGGGGTGTGGAGGCTCGATGGGAGGCGAGCAGGTCAAGGTGGTCAGCCCGAGCGGGTGTTAGGCAATGCCCTCCTTGATCCCCTCGCTAGTCGACCCGGGCCTGGGCGCCGTGTGAGCGACGCAGAACTAAGAACGAGTTCGAGTGCCTGGTCGCGCGTAAGCTGCCCGCTCGAGGACGCACGTCGGCGCCCTCGTTTCCAAGTGGCCTTCCGCGCTGGTGGCCTCCGTACGCCACCGCGCAAGGTCGCTATGGCACCTCGCGTGGGTCCCGTTTCTTTTCGTCGTGGAGTTGGGCCCCCTCCCTCGGCTGACCCAGGTCTGGGAGCTGCTTCGTGGCTCCACCAGGCGCGCTCCACTGCTCGCAAAGTGCCTGCTCGCAGACCTCCGTCAGAAATGTGTCGTCCTCCTGTGTAGCGTATCGTGAGTCCCCCGCGGCGGACCCAGGCCGTTTGCGAGTAGTTGTTATTCTGCGAGTAGTGGAACGCGCTTGTCAATGGCTGGCCTGGTTTCGGGAGGAGGAGGAGGAGGAGGAGGAGGAGGAGGAGGAGGAGGAGGAGGAGGAAGATAGGGAGGAGGAGGAGGAGGAGGAGGAGTGAGTGAGTGAGAACAGTCGCGAAGCGAAGATCGAAACAGACGCCCCCCCCTGGACTTGTCGAAGAGCACGACGGACAGGAAGAGGACGCACTTCTTCTGAAAAGCTGGCGGAGAAGCCCGTGGAACCATAAGCCCGCGGATGGGTTCCTCCCAAACATATAATGTCAGTTCACCCCTTCAACACCAGACAAATGCAGAGGAAGTTGAAAGAATGCCCAAAGCCACCTTGATACAAATAAGCTGAACCGAAGCAAACTCGATACGGCCCACTACAGTAAACTGGTCATCGGGCAACCCTGACGGATCGTTCACACCGAAAACAGCCTCATTGCATTCAAGGAAAAAGCCTCCAGCCCTTGCAATAATTGACCACCATTCGCAGCACCGCGTGAAAAAGATAACAGTAAGAGGCCCAGTCCCAGCAACGCTGAACAAATAGGCCGCCGCCCGTACCCTCCCCACGCGGCATTGGGAGATAGCAGCATTGTAGATGATGGGAACTGAGCGCCATTGCAACCAGCAAACGCCCGAGGCCAGCGAAAGAGAATACCCCCTCCGTGCGGCCCTGAGGGATGGCTGAAATGTAAATGACGAAACCAGTGCCCGCCCAGCCTGTGGGAGCTTGAAAAACACGTGCGGGACAAGGAAGAACGGGAGGACGGCCAGACGGAAAGTGGACGCGACCCGATCTGAGCCCCTCAAGTGCGTCGCTCCAGTGAACAGCATGGGCGCCAAAAACAAATTTCCCGAGCCTGACATCAAGGACGAGACATCATGTGTGAGCACCTTCTGTTTTAGTCGTCACCAGCGGCTCTCCTGGAGAGCGTGGGTGAAGTGCCCCAAGCACCGCGCGCAGGCACAGAAGGCGGGCTCTTGCCAAAATGGTCTGAGCCCAAGTTGCTTGAGGAGGAGGAGGAGGAGGAGGAGGAGGAGGAGGAGGAGGAGGAGGAGGAGTGGAACGCGCTTGTCCATGGCTGGCCTGGTTTCGGGACATGGCCTCAGCTGGCCCGTCTTGGCGTGGGTCGTGGCTGGCCCCTCCCGGGAGGCGCTGGCCTCGAGCCCTCTGCTCTGCGTCGCAGGGATCCCCACGGCGTGTGTCGCACGCCCCGGGCAGGGCGCCACGCACAGTGAACACCCGCGCCAAGAAACACCCCGCTTGCCTCCAGGTTGTCCTGGTGAGCGTCTTTTTATACATTCTTTTGCCGAGGGCCCTCGCCCCCCCCCCCCCTACCCCCACCCATTGAGTAGATCCTGGCTGTTTTTTGGCGCCTGTTTCAGGCAGGTGGGGTCCCTTCCCCATCGGCCGCAATGCTCCAAACAGCCGCACTAAGCAGAGGTCCAGAGCCAGACCCCCCCCTCCTCCCCCCCTTGCCGCCCAGTGTCGAAACGCCGAATAAGAAAACGCTCACCTGGGTCTCTTGGGTTTCGATGGTTTTTGCTATGGAGTGCGTGACGTTTCCACACCAACAAAACAAATCAATGTACGTCCTGGGGTTCCAGGGCTGGGTTTCTCTTGTGGAAGGTTTCTTGTGGTCGAGCCCCTACTGTACCATCCTCTTTTCGGCGCATTGGCGCGGGCTCGGAGCCCTCAGCGTCGCAGAGAGCCCCGAGACGCTTATCACAACCCGCAGGTCTGGCACCGCACATGAGCCGGGCCCTATTCTTCAGCCTTCTGGCGCGGAGAGAGCCCCCACGACGCGCATTGCACACCCCAGGTCTGGCACCGCGTGCTGGCTGGATGTGCCAGGAGGGCGTATAACGCCGTGCCAGAGCCCAAGATCGCCGAGGCCAGGCACTGGATTTCCCCCTGCACGCCCAGACTCTGGACTCCCGCCTGCGTTTGGGGCCCCTCCGCCGGCACTGGGACGGACCTCCCTCCGTGGAAGCGGATCAGGTCAGTCGGAGAGTCCGTGAACCCAGCGAGCCGGGTTCGGGGTAAGGTGGCGTCCGTGAGGTGGTGAGCACCAGGGGCAGGAACGGGGCGTCCGAGGGGCGGGGGGGAGGAGCTCGGAGCGTCCAAGAAGGGGGGAGGATATCATGGCCCTGCGCGTTCGTCGTCGCTTGCCTGCTTCTCCCCTCCTCTCCCCCTTTCCCTCTGCCCAGAGCTGGCGCTGCCAAGCAGCGCATCTCACGAGATCCGAAGGCCGAAGGCTTGCAGCACCAAGTATCAGCTTGCACAGGAATGTCGGCCTCCCCTGAGGAGGAGGAGGAGGAGGAGGAGGAGGAGGAGGAGGAGGAGGAGGAGGAGGAGGAGGAGCATGACGGAGCAGGAGCAGGAGGAGGAGGAGGAGGGGAGGAGGAGGAGGAGGAGGAGGAGGAGGAGGAGGAGGAGGGGAGGAGGAGGAGGCGGAGGAGGAAGAGGAGGAGGAGGAGGAAGATGAGGAGAGGAGGGATGAGGGAGGGGGGAGGGAAGGAAGGAGGGAGGTGAGGGGGGGAGGGAGGGAGGTGGTATGAGGAGGAGGAGGAGGATGATGAGGAGCAGGAAGCAGGTGCAGGAGCAGGAGGAGGAGGTGGAGGAGGAGGTGCGAGGAGGAGATAGGGGAGGAGGTAGGAGGATAGGAGGAAGAGGAGGAGGAGGAGGAGGAGGAAGTTGAGGAGAGGGAGGGATTGAGGGAGGGAGGGAGGGAAGGAAGGAGGAGGGAGGGAGGGGAGGAGGGAGCGAGGTATGAGGAGGAGGAGAGGATGAGGAGGAGCAGGAGCAGGAGCAGGAGGAGGAGGAGGAGGAGGAGGAGGGGAGGAGGAGGAGGAGGAGGAGGAGGAGGAGGAGGAGAGGTGCTAGGTAAAGGTGCTGGAGGAGGAGCACTGCAAGCTCGTTCCTTGGGCGAGAGGTCGGGGCGTCGAGCGGGCTGGCGCCGAGGCAAGGCGAGTCGGGGGCCCGCCGCGACTGCTCGGGCGCGCGCGCACCTTCTCCTCTCCTCTCCTACTCCTCTCTCCTCTCCTCCTCCTCCTCCTCCTCCTCCCCTCCTCCCCCCTCCTCCTCCCTCCTCCCTCCTCCCTCCTCCCTCCTCCCTCCTGCCTCCTGCCTCCTGCTCCTCCCTCCCTTCACTCCTCCCTCCTCCATCCTCCTCTCCTCCTCTTACCTTCCTCTCCCTCTCCTCCTCTTCTTTCCTTCCCTTCCTCCTCTTCCTCTCTTACTCCTCTTTCCTCCTACTCTCCTCCCTCCTCTCCTCCCTCTCTCCTCCTCCATCCTCCTTCTCCTCCCTCATTCCTCCTCCTCCTCCTCCTCCTCCTACTCCTCCTCTCCTTCTACTTCTCCTTCTCCTCCTCCTCCTCCTTCCCCTCCTCCTCCTCCTTCTCCTCCTCTTCCTCCTCCTGAGAGGCGGGGTCGCCTGCGCGAACGGTGAAGACATTTTTTGAGCGGGGCTGGTGGCCCCATCGAGCTATGGATCGGGGGAGGGGCAGAGGTCGCACTAATCAGCGTGTAACCAGGGCCATAATCATTGAATGTCCTGTTGTTGTTGACAGATTTTGGCGTTCTCGCTTGTTCGGCTTGTCGATGCTCCAAGGCGGCCCAAGAGGGCCCAAGACGGCCTAAGAGCGCCCCAAGACGACTCAAGAGGCGCCCCAATTCGGCTCCAAAAGGGGCCCAAGAGAGGGAGCACGAACCGAACATCCCAACCTTCCATGCGCGCGCGGCCGACGCGCGAGAGTGACCTGCATGGCATTCTTTGACTCGGATCGTGTCCCCCCAGCACGCGCGCAATATCGTTCGAATCATTTCGACATGCGGCGCGAAAGGTTAATTAAGCCGAAGTCCATGAACATACTGAAATCCCTTTTGTTTTTGTTGTTGTAGTAGTTCCCCACATCCCAAGTGGGGTTCTTGTTTTCTCTGGACACCCCGCGCAGTCCTCCCTCACCCCCTCTCACCCTCGTCATCACTCACCCTCACTCACTCCTTCACCCACTCATCATCATCACCATCATCATCATCATCATCATCATCATCATCATCATCATCATCATCATCATCATCATCGTCATCGTCATCGTCATCAGCATCAGCATCAACATCAGCATCAGCATCAGCATCAGCATCAGCATCATCATCATCATCAGCATCATCATCATCAGCATCATCATCATCATCATCATCTTCATCTTCATTTTCATCTTCATCAATCACACACTCACTTACACTCACACTCACTCACTTACACACACACGCACACTCACTTCTCATCGTCACCATAATCATCATCACTGACTCACTCATTCACTCGCTCACCATCATCATTCACTCACTCATCATTTTGTCATGATTCACCCCCTGGCATGACAATGGAGGATGTCTCAGGCGGGAGCCTCGTCTGTGAGTGAATTGTGAGGACGTCTCAGGCGGGAGCTCCCTCCCTAAGGGGCCCGCACTTCATGTTTGAATCCGAGGCGGGTCATCG